TCTAGGGCAGGAGAGCTGCCAGCCTGGCCACCCAGGAGCAGGTGTGCATGAAAATCAAGGGGGTCCACCGAGACCCAGATTTGTTCAATAAAGACAGATTCCATTTTGGAAGAAACGTTATCTTTATTTTGTACATCGAGAAGAGGGGCTAGGGAAGAGTAAGTGGAAGGAGGTGAGGGAGGAATGGGACACGAGCCCCCGATGGGGAGGACTGGGCTGGCTCTGTGGGCTTCTGGGGGTGGAAGCTCTCCTGCAGCCCCCCAGTTGCCCCCTTTCCCCAGATGGCAGCCTGCGGCAAGTGCAGCCGGGCTGATGGCCGAGTGGTGTGATGTGCCCAGTGTGGTAGTCCGGACACTCCAAGCCAGGACTGCTTTGCAAGCGGGGCACCCCTGAGAACTGTCTGTCCGGGATGGGGGTGGGGACCCTTTAAGCACAGCCCTCGGCTAGCCTGAGACAGCATCTTCATGCTCTAAGTCCTCCTCTGATGCCCTGCCGGCACTGCTTCCGGCCATCCTTAACCCCGGTTCAGGGTCCACTTAATGTGGACATGCTAGTTCGAATTAGCAAAACGCTAATTCGAACTAGTTTTTTAGTCTGGATCCGTTAGTTCGAATTAGCTTAGTTCGAATTAACTAATTCGAACTAAGTTAGTTCAAATTAGCGCTGTAGTGTAGACATACCCTCAGCCCTTTCCTTCTCTCCAGTTTGTCCTGCTAGTTGTGGGCTCCTTTCCTCCTACTCCCGGCGCCTCTCTCCTCCTTCCTCCCAGCTGCACACCCCCTACCACTGCCCACAGCTTCTTTTCTAGCCAGTCTGAATTGGTTTTCTTAATTGCCCCCAGTTGTCCTAATTGGCCCAAGCTGCCTGACTCTGCCGGCCTGGTCAATTAGCCCCAGGTTTTCCTCCACCCCCACATTGCCTCTGTTGGTTCTAAACCAGCCCCTCACTGTTACCCTGGGAACAGAGATCTCATCGGTGTGAGGATTATACAGCTCCCCTCCATTGCTTTCTTATAGCCGTCTGCTCTGACCCTGTCACAGTGTTTGTGTGTGTGTCTTGTGTGTGTTTTAGAAAACTCTGGAAAGTGATCTGGAGCTCCTGCAGAACCCTGATCTAGTTTACACCGTCAGCGCCAAAGAATACTGGGAAGGGAAGTATCTCACGAAGGAGGAGACAGGTAACGTGCACTGGTTTCCTCTTACCTGAGTTGCTAACGCTTCATTGCCCAGGGTACTTTCTCTGCTTAAAATCACAGAACCCCAGGGCTGGCAGAGACTTCAGGAGGTAGCGAGTCCAGCCCCCTGCCCAACGCAGGACCCACCCCAATTCAATCATCCCAGACAGGGCTTGATCCAGCTGGGACTTGAACAACCCTAGAGATGGAGATTCCACCCCCTCCCTAGGGAACCCATCCCAGTGCTTCCCCACCCGCCTAGGGAAATCGTTTGTCCTAGTATCCAACCTAGACCTCCCCCACTGTAACTTGAGACCATTGCTCCTCGTTCTGCCGTCTGTCTCCACTGAGCCCAGCCTCTCTCCATCCTCTTTGGAATCCCCCTGCAGGGATTTGAAGGCTGCTATCAAATCCCCCCTCGCTCTTCTCTTCTGCAGACTAAACAAACCCAAATCCCTCAGCCTCTCCTCATAGGTCATACGCTCCAGTCACTGAATCATTTTGGTTGTCCTCCGCTGGATCCTCTCCAATGATTCCACATCCTTTTTGTAAAGGGGAAGGTGGGGAAACTGGATGCAACACTCCAGATGTGGCCTCACTAGTGCCAGATAAAGGGGAATAATCACTTCTCTAGATCTGCTGAATATGCTCCTCCTAATGCATCCTAATGTGCTGTTAGCCTTCTTGGTTCTTCTTGGCTAGAAGGGCACCCCTTTGACTCATATCCAGCTTCTCATTCACTGTAATCCCCAGGGCTTTTTTTACTGAACTGCTGCTCAGGCGTTTGGTCCCCAGCCTATAACAATGCTTGGGATTCTTCCATCCCAAGGGCAGGACTCTTCACTTGTCCTTGTTGAACCTCATCAGATTTCTTTTGTCCCAAACCTCCAATTTGTCTAAGTCACTCTGGACCCTATCCCTGCCCTCCAGCATATCTACCTCTCCCCCTAGCTTAGTGTCATCTGCAAACTTGCTGAGGGTGCAGTCCAGCCCCTCATCCAAGTCATTTATAAAGATGTTGAACAAAACCGGCCCTAGAACTGATCCTTGGGACATTCTACTTGAAACCGACTGCAAACCAGACATTGAGCCATCGATCACGACCCGTTGGGCCCAACAGTCTAGCCAGCTTTCTATCCATCTTACTGTCCATTTATCCAATCTATACTTCCTTAACTTACTGGCAACAATATTGTGGGAGATGTATCAAAAGCTTTGCTAAAGTCAAGATATATCACATCCACTGACTTCCCCACGTCAGCAGAGCCAGTTACTTTGTCATAGACGCTAATGAGATTGGTCAGGCAGGATTCGCCGTTGGTGAATCCATGTTGACTATTCGTGATCATTTTCCCCTCTTCCAAGTTCATCAAAATAGATTCCTTGAGGATCCCCTCCATGATTTTTCCAGGGTCTGAGGTGAGGCCAACTGGTCTGTAATTCCCTGGTTTGTCCTTCCCTTTTCTAAAGATGGGCACTACATTTGCCTTTTTTCAATCATCCAGGATCTCTACCGATCTCCACGAGTTTTGAAAGATAATGGCCAACGGTCCTGCAATGACATTTGCCAACTCCCTCAGGACCCTCGGATGCATTAAATCCAGGCCCATGGATCTGTGTGTGTCTAGCTTTTCTAAATAGTTCTTAACTTGTTCTTTCTCCACCGAGGGCTGCCCACCTCCTTCCCATACTGCGTTGCCTAGTGCAGTGGTTCTCAACCGTGGGCCATATGGCTTCCCAGGGACCACACCCTGCCTCTATGCTGGCCACATGGAAAAAACGGAACATTAGGTAAATTATGTACCGTTCTTTCCAACTAACACCGGCTATGAGGGGGCCACAGAGGTAAATGAGGCTCAGAAGGGGGCCATGAGCAAAAAAAAGTTGAGAAACACTGGTCTAGTGCAGTAGTCTGGGAGCTGAACTTGTTTGTGAAAACAGAAGCAAAAAAAGAATTGAGTACTTCAGCTTTCCCCACATCATCTATCACTAGGTTACCTCCCTCCTCCAGTAAGGGCCCCACATACTCCCAGATAACCCTCTTATTGCTAACATGCCTGTAGAAACCTTTTTTGTTTCCCATCACATCCCTTGCTAGCTGCAATTCCAATTGTGCTTTCGTCTTTCTGGTTACTCCCCTGCATGCTGAAGCAATATATTTATTCCCCTCCCTAGTCATCTGTCCAAGTTTCCACTTCTTATAAGCTTCCTTTTTGTGTCTAAGCTTGCCAGGGATTTCCTTGTTAAGCCATTCTGGTCGCCTACCACATTTGCTTTCCTTACTGCATATCGGGATGGTTTGTTCCTGTGCCTTCAATAGGCTTCTTTAAAATCCAGCCAGCTCTCCTGGACTCCTGTCCCTTTCATGTTACATCCCAGGGGATCCTGCCCATCAGTTCTCTGAGGCTAGGTCTACACTGCTGCGGTTTTTTTGGAAGAAACTATGCAAATTATGCACCGCAATTTGAGAGCTTTTTCAGATTTCTTTTCTGGAAGAGGCTTTTCCGCCATATGGCCCCGTCAAGATGGGACCAAATGGAAAAGCTGCCTCTTTTGGAGGAGCCCTTATTCCTTGTAGAATGAGGTAGACAGGGTTCCCCGAAAGAGCGTGTCTGCTCTTCCACAAAAAAAGTGGAAGAGCAAACGCATCCCCTGGATGTGGCAGGGTTTTTTCAGGATAACTTCGGTATCCCGGAAAACCCTCACAGAGTAGACATAGCCACAGGGCATCAGCAGATGTCAGGGTCCCCCATGGGAACCAGGGTCTGGGATCTTCTCTCAGTTGTCTGAAGAAAGCCTCATCTCCCTCATCCATCAGATGTGGTCAACAGCAGATGCAGACCACAACATCACCCCGTTGCTCCTGACTCTAAGCTTAACTCTCAACAGGCTTTTCTCCCTCTTTATACTGCAGCACGGAGCAATCCTACTGCTCTCTGACATACAGAGCCACTTCTTCTCCTTATCCCTCTGCCTGTTCTTCCTGAACAGTTTACACCCTTCCCTGGCCGTGCTCCAGTCATGTGAGTCATCCCACCAAGTCTCTGTTATTCCAGTCACATCACAGCTCTTTGACTGGGCCAGGACTTCCAGTTCCTCCTGTTTGTTTCTCAGGCTTCTGGTGTTCATGTACAAACAACTTAGATAACTAGCTGATCGCCTGCCCTTCTCCGTTTGAATCAGGGGTCCTCCTCTGTTGCTCCTTCCTCGTTGTGTCCCTGCCCAGCATTGCATATTGCTATCTGTGCTTCTCTTACTGGTGACGGGCTCTCTTCACAAGAGCAGGAATTTGGTTCCAAGGCCCATGCAGATGCTTTCCCCCCCAAACTCTGGGGATTACATTTCTTCTTTGAGATGTGTTGCTCATGCCCATGCCACTGAGGTGTGCACGCACTGTGTGCACCACTGTCAGAAGGCGTTCCTTGGCTGTACCCATTGGGTTGGCTGTGGAGCCCTGTGGAGCGATTCCGGCGTGGTGGTGAAAGTGGAACCCACTGACCAACCCCGTCATCTGCTCAGTTCCTTCTTCCTGTCGGCAAGGGTTGTTGGCACAGCATAATCTTTTATGTCCTACAAGTGCCCCTTAGGGACATGCCTACAGTAGGAAACTAGTTCGAACTAAATTCGACTTAGTAACTCCCGATTTGACAAAATTGAACTAGCAGGTCCCCACTTAGGGGGATCCTTGAAATGAGACCCAGGCAGGTTTCCTGAGTGTGGATGCACGACCTCGACGTAGAGCCCCAGGAAGCAGGGGGAGTCCTTGGCTGGAATGTCTCTGGAGAGTCGTTATTTTGAAAAAGCTGCACCGGAGCAGGCCGCACACCACGTCTTTCCTGTAACCATGAGAGGTGCCTATAGTAAAGGGGGCCTACACAAATTATTCATAACGCTTGCAACAGGGTTGATTGCAATGGCAACAGGCTTTTGCTTAACAACAGGCCTTTCGGCCCAACAGTCTACTTCCCCACCACCACCCCGCCCATGAATGACTGCCCGGTCTCCTTCCCCTCAAAAGCAGCAGGTGTGTAACCAGCAGCCCCCTCGGCTCTTAGTATGTTTGGATGGGCCATGCCAGCTGCCCTCTTCCCTCCTCTTACACGCAGGGCTCTCTGGAGCTGAGAGCCCCCCCCTCCCCGCAAGCTATGTTCCCCCGAGGGAAAGGGGCTATGTTTTTGGATGGAGAAGGAGCCGAGTTCTTTTCCCAGAACATGGCTGGATGACGAAGGGATAGCAATCCCTTCACCCTATCCCGAGGCTCCAGGATCTACCGGTAGATCCCGACCGACTGCTTGGTGACCCCTGACCTGGGAGGTTCCCCCAGCACTCGGACCCGTTGTTCTTTTGCTGCTCCCGGAGGTGGTAGCGAGGCCGTCGACCGCGCTGCGTCCCCGTTGGGGGTCCGGTCGCCCTTGCTGCACCGCGCAGGGCACGAAGCTTTGCACAGCCCCACACCCTTCGCCCTGCTGTCCCCCACTGGGCTGGCGGCCCGGCTCACCTCTGCCTCTCTGTGCCCTTCCAGAGATCCCCAAGCTGAGAGAGCACGTCAGGACTGTCTATCGCAAGGAGAAGAAGAAGCAGCTGGAGGGTTATATGTCTGAGGTTCACAGCGCTGTCCTGCTGGCCCAGAACAACTTTACCAAAGAGGCGATGGTATGGCTAGAACGGCCGGGGGGAGAGAGGAAGGGGATGTTCTGATCTGCCTGCTGCAGGGGATATTACCCTCTCCTCACACCGCAGCCGCTTCCCTGCGCCTTCTCTCCATTGCCTCTCCCAACCCTGGGCCTTCGAGTCAGGCTGCCCGCTCTCCAGGTCCTAACAGGGAACAAATGCAAAGACTGGGCTCCGAAAAGCTAGGAATGAGCTGGCCAGCATGTAAATGCATCTGGGCGGAGCTGGAGCTGTCCAGCTGTGTGCCATAGACACTGGACTGCTGACGGCTAATGAGGATGGTTCAAATGAGGGAAAGGGGCTATGTTTTCGGATGGAGGAGGATCCGAGTTCTTTCCCCAGAGCATGGCTGGATTACGAAGGGATTGCAATCACTTCACCCTGTAAACTACAGCTTACTCCCTCAGCATTGTCAAGGGCTGCACTTCTCTAGGGACGGGGTGTGGAGTTTAGGAGGGAGGTGGATGCAGAAGGAGATCAGGGTAGAGAACAGGTGCAGGAGGGTGTGTGGACTCTGGGAGGAGGCTATGACCTGGGGCAGGGAATTGGGGTGCAGGGTCCAGGAGAGAGCAGGGGTGCAGGAGTGAATTTTGAGAGGGGGAGGGGTGTAGTAGGGTTATGGGGTCTGGGAGGGAATTGTAACCTACGGGGTGCACAGAGGGTTTGGGTGGTGACCTGGGGCAGGGAGTTAGGAAGGGGGAGGGTCTGGGGTGCAAGAGACAGGCTCTGACCAGGAGTCCTTTACCTTCGGTGGCTCCCAGCCAGCAGCCCAGCTGGGTCCCTGAGGCAGGCTCCCTCCTGCAGTGGCCCCGGCCACTGGAGTCCCCTGCATGTGCCACACAGAACCTCACACCCGTGTGTGTGTGGGGGGGGTGGCAACAGACTTTGCATGCCCTTCCCCCTCCCCCAGGCCAGTCATCAGAGCTGGGAGTGGGGCCTGGGACAGGGGAGCTCATGAACTCTCTCTTCTCCTGCCAGGGCAGGCCAGGGGCTGCAACAAATGGCGTGGCGGGCTGGGTCCAGCTGGCGGGCTGTGTCGCGCCTTCCCCAGTGTTGCCCCAGACTGAAACACAACGTTGCCCCCAGCGTAGACGCCCCCCCCTTGCAAAGCCCCTTTCCCATCGGCAAGTTGGGGTTTGATGATGACTCTCCAGGCTTAGCTAATGTCTTTATCCCTGGGGACAAAATCAGCTCTTCACACCTGGGGGGTGTGTGTGTCTGTGGCTGGGTGAAGCAGAGAAAGGAGGTGGAAAAACAACATCCACAGAGATTCTGATCTCTCCTTCCCTGTCATCGACACGTGAAACCACCACCGGCTGCCTCTGCCAAGGCAGCCACACGCTGGAACTTTCCCACTAGCCCTGCTGTCACTTCCCGCCAACCCTTCCCCCGTGGGCGGCAGGTACGCTGGGCAGGGGGAGGCTTTGCCTTCCCAACCTGCCAGCGAAGCCCCACCCACCTGCTGCCTGCTGGAGGCATTCTGGGGGGGGAGTGTTGGTGCCCCCCAGTTTCTGCTCTCCTAGTGCTCTGGGGAGGCTAGAGCAGTGCACTGCCCGGCCTCCCAGTGGTGCTGGGGAGGGGCAGGGATGCATCTTGGCTCCCATGGGGATGGGGCATTGACAGAAGGGGAGGGACATGAGCAGAAGGGGCGGGGCTTGCCTCCCTTAGCCCTACCTTCACCCACTGCCCAAGCCCTGACCTCTCCCCTTGCAGCAGCCTCCAGTGCCACGTCGCACTCGAGGGCTTTGGCTCCGTACCAACGCAGGACGCCCCTGGCTGGACGGGTGACCCCCTCTTCCAGCGCATTGTGCTCCTCAGGTGCCTGCCAGGCAGGGGCTGTTTGAAGCCAGGCCCGCGCTGCAGGTCTGAGCAGAAATCAGAACAGGTCCCTTCATTTTGCCTCCTGCCTTGGCAGCGCAGTGACGTGGCCTCTGCCCTTCTGCCGTTGCAGGATCTCTACCAGCAGAGCGACCTGGAAAGCTTCGTGGAGGGCAAGATCGAGGCTTTGGAGAAGGAGATTGAGAAGTGTTTTGCCCAGCTGGAGCAGCCCCTTGACAAAGGCCTGGAGGAAGCAAAGATCTCTCATGCTGATGTTCTCCCACAGCTCATTTCGGTGAGTTGCAGACTCTCCACTGAGCCCATGTGGGCAGCTTCTGTTCTCCGGCCACCATCTGCCTCTGCTGTGGCATTCCAGTGGCTTATGAACTGTGGTGACATGAATCATGAATCAGAGACCTCGGAAGGCATCAAGTCCAGCCCCCTGCCCAAAGCAGGACCAACCCCAGCTCAATCATCCCAGCCAGGGCTTTGTCCAGCAGGGACTTAAACACCTTTAGAGATGGAGATTCGACCCCCCTCCCTAGGGAACCCAGCCCAGGGCTTCCCTACCACGTGCTTTGGGGTCTGGGCAGGAAAATCCTAAGAGGGCTAATTGGTATCGGGTCTTGAGAGGAGGAATTTGGGTTTGTCTAGACAGTATTTGGTCCTGCCGTGAGGGCAGGGGACTAGACTCGATGACCTCGCGAGGTCCCTTCCAGTCCTAGTGTTCCATGATTTGTAAAGAGCGTTAGATAAAAGCCACTGGAGGAGAGCAGCACCTTGTTCTTCCAGCGGTGCCAGGAGTCGGTGGGTCCTCACGCTGGTGAATGGAGATTTCTGCGAGCAGCACCTGGCTGCGCCATGCACGAGCCGTAGCCGTCTCATGGTGCCATTGGCATCTGTTGACTGAGGGCACAGATCCTTTGTTTCCTTCCCTACCAGCCAGAGTAGCAGACCGAGCTCTCAGGCAGCACGACTCTTTAGCTTAGAAAAATCAGCCCTTCTGGGTCTAGTGCAGCCCTGGCGTAAGAATTCTGTCCTTTCTGAAAGCGTCCTGGAGGGTCAGACATCCCCATTCTAATGGATGGGCCAGCGTAGGTATACAGGATGGCCATAGTTTCCAGTTGGTATCATGGGGAAGCACTCGCCACGTCTTTAGGAAAATTAACGTTGTGTGCTCACAAAACACACTGCAGATGAGAGACCTGGTCAGCTGCTTGTGGCGCCCCGTGGAGACCTTTAAGTGAAAGTTTAGATGGGAACTCTGCTTATCCAGACCCCTCCCTCTTTTGCATCTGCCACGAACAATCAGATAGAAGGTGTCCGTGTAACAGCGCGCACAACAAATCACTTTCCTTGAGCACAGGGAGGGCAGGTGCTTGGAGGAAACAACACTCCTTCCCCCCACTCCCTTCCCCGTATGCCTACAGTCGGATTCTGGGGGCAGAGAATGGGTGTGGCCAGGAAGGCAACACCTCCCCCTGCCTAGCGTTCTGCCATCCCGTTCCGCAGACTGTTCTCTGCAATCTCAGTGGGTTCAGCCCCCTGTGGACTCCGGCTATTTGTCGAGGTCCTGAGCCAGAGCAGCTCCCTTCTTCTCTCCTCTCTGCCTAGCCGGGCACCCACCTGCTCAGCCCTTGCAGCTCCTTTTATATGAACCTGCTGGGCTCTGATTGGCTGTCGCTAGCCCTTCAGGGACACGTTGCTATGGTTTCCAAGATGGCTCCTCTGGAGAGGCCTCTCTACACTGGCCCAGAGGACCCACCTTCACTGCTCTGCTCATCCTTCATGGCTGTTTCCAGGGGGAGGGTGTACTAGTTCTGCAGGGCCATGTCACAGGGTGGCTCCCAGCACGCAGGGGCCTACAGTTCTACAAATTGTCAGTCGTATCCCCCGTACTCACTGTGTTGCAATTGTGTTTCCAATTGTCCAGCGCAACACCAACCGGAACAGCAACCAAGGTTTCCACAGGACCCTGAAAGCCTTGTGCCAGAAGAACGGGGTGTACATGTCCCCCACCTTCGGCTACCTGGACCTCAACACCGCCCTGGCTCAGCCCATCTATGATGCAATCAACCCCGTGTTTGCAGAAATATTCAGGAGAGACGACCCCTGCCCTGTACAGGCTGCAGGGACACCGAGCTCCGGAACAGCAACCAAGGTTTCCACAGGACCCTGAAAGCCTTGTGCCAGAAGAACGGGGTGTACATGTCCCCCACCTTCGGCTACCTGGACCTCAACACCGCCCTGGCTCAGCCCATCTATGATGCAATCAACCCCGTGTTTGCAGAAATATTCAGGAGAGACGACCCCTGCCCTGTACAGGCTGCAGGGACACCGAGCTCCCAGCGGTAGGGCTGACCCCTGGTTCCTGCCCCTCCCGGGTAACCTAATCCGGTGGAGTTTCTTCTCCCTTCCCCCCAGCTTCCCTAACCCCACTGCAGCTGGGGCATGGCATGAGCTTTTTTCGGGGGTAGAACCTGGGTGTACAGAGGGCCGGACATGTCTGCACTGTGACCCAGCGGCCCTGGTAGTGCAGCATGTTCTCACACAGAGGAAGGGGGAACAGTTTTTGGGCCGGAGGCCATTGACCGGCCACTGACCCACAGAAAAATCAGCCGGGAGCCGCATACAAAAAACCCTCACTGTGGCCTCCAACTAAGGAGAAAAATACTCCCCACATCTCTCTCACACACCAGAGCCTGGGGGGAGGAGAGAAGGTGCTGGGGGAGGGGGGCGTGAAGCACCAGTGTGTGCTCCCCAGTGCTGAAGGGGAGCCCCAAGCCTCATGGGCTGGATTCTGGGCCTTTGGTTCTGGCCCATAGACCTGATGCAGTAAACACCACAGGGCCGACAACTTCCTTCACGGCCCTGGCTGGTCCTGGCGCTCTGTGTCGGCCCAGGAACTTCCTAGCTGGAGTGCTGGGCCGGCCTCGGGGCTGACTCCGGCTGTTCGCTCTTCCCCAGCGCCTCGCTGAGGCCGTGCCTGGACAAGTTCAGAGTCTCAGTCCAGGTGAAGATCCAAGACATCAGGCAGACGAGGGCTGTGACCAGTGATAACTGGAAGATCAAGTTCTTCATTGAGGAGGTAAGTGGAGGATCAGCAAAGAGGGGGGATGCTGCACCACCAGCCAGTGCTCCTGGAGCGGGAGACGTCCAGCTCTGCCCCACCCTGCCCCACCTTCTCCCTTCTCCAAGGACCCCACACCACCTTGATTTCTCCCCCGTCCCACTCTGTCCCTGACCACCTGGTCTTTCCCCATTCCACCTCACTCCTGAGCACCACCCCGCTCCTGAGTCTCCTGGCGCCTCTGGCACTCTGGGGAACAGCTGAGGGCAGCAGGCAGAAGGTGCTGGGATGGGGGGGAAGGTGGAACAGATGGGGAGGATGCCTCTGGGTGCTTGGCCACCACTGTTTTTTTCCAGCACCAGACCACCCCTGGAGTCAGCTCTTCTGCTGTTCAGTGTATTGCCTGGTGTCCCTGTGGGGCCGATCACCCAGCAAGCAGGGCCGTGTTTAATGCAGGACCCCGGGGCAGGGGAACTGTGTTGACTCCAGGGATGGTTTGGCTTTGCTGTGACTTAGAGCAACCCATGGGCATTTCAAAGTGACGCCAGCAGGAGCGGTTCCCCTAGGGACACCTCCCGCCCTTCCCAGCGACCAAGAACGGCCAAAGCACAAGGCAAGGTGACCCCAGAAACCCCACCCTTCCTGCTGTAAAGTGACCCCCGGACTGGGTTGGCTGGGCCCTATAGGGAAGGATGTCAGCCAACCCCCCAGCCCAGTGTCCTTGACACACCCAAGGGGATGGCCTAGGGCCAGTCTGTGAGCCAAGCAGAATTTGTCTCTCTCTACCCACCAATGAAATAAATAGCAAGAGCTGAAAATCATCCCAGCCCACAGTGTGGGTCAGATATTCTGCTCAGCCCCATCTCCGCCAGATTCCTGCCAAGTACGTGTCATGTCATTGTCCATGAGCAAAGCTCGAATGCATCGTATCATTGGAAAGCAGCCAGGCATGCCAAAGGACAGCCCAGCGTGGGTGCTCATCCCCGTGGCTGGACAGAGAACCTGCTCCCTTAGGTTGCTGCTGAGTGTAGTTATTTGAAAGCACCAGAGCAGATCAGAACATCAGAACAGCCAGACGGGTCAGACCAAAGGTCCTTCAGGCCCAGGGTCCTGTCTGGCCACAGTGGCCAATGCCAGGGACCCCAGTGGGAGGGATCACAACCGGGGATCATCAAGTGATCCCTCCCCTGTTGCCCATTCCCAGCCTCTGCCAAACAGAGGCCAGTGACACCAGCCCTCCCCATCCTAGTTAATAGCCACTGATGGACCTAAACTCCATGAATGTCTAGTTCTTTTTTGAACCCTATTAAAGTCTTGGACTTCACCACATCCTCTGGCAAGGAGTTCCACAGGAGACTGTGCACTGAGTGAAGAAAAACTTTCTTTTATTTTTTTAAACCTACTACCTATTAATTTCTTTTGGTGACCCCTAGTTTTGATGTCATGGAAGCAAGTACTGTATATAGCTTTTCCTTATTCACTTTCTCCACACCACTCATGATTTCATAGACCTTGATCGTATCTCCCCTTAGTCTCCTCTTTTTGAAGCCGAAGAGTCCCAGTCTTTTTAATTTCTCTTCGTATGGGACTCATTCCTCATTGTTTTTGTTGCACTTTTCTGAACCTTTTTGAATGCCAAGAGATCTTTTTTGAGATGAGGTGACCACATTTGAACGCAGTGTTTAAGATGTGGTTGTACCATGGTTTTATTCAGAGGCCGTAAGATGTTCTCTGTCTTATCCTCTGTTCCTTTTTTAATGATTCTTAACATTCGGTTTGTTTTTTTGATGGATGCTGCATATGGAGTGACTATTTTCTGAGAATCATCCACAATGACTCCCAAGATCTTTTTTGAGTGGTTCTAGACAAATTAGTTCCCATCATTTTGTATGTAGAGTGGGGACTGTTTTTTCCAGTGTGCATTCCTTTACATTTATCAACATTAAAATTAGGTTTCTGGGCTCTGGTTCCTGTCCTTTGAGGAGAGACTCAAAGTTTGTACCCACAAGTTGGGAATCTTCAGATTCCAGCTAGAATTGTAGGGCTCAGTGCATGAGACCCAGGAGTTTGAAATCCAAGTTAGTTAGAAAGCACCAAGTGCTAGGCAGCCTTTAAGGTGGAAAAAGGATTGTGGAGATCACAGTTTGAATTCACCATTTGTGTCTAAACTCTGGCCTTAAAAATTCACACCTGCGTAGTCCACCTTAATTCTGGGTTGAACAGATAAGCAGTCCACACACACCCACACAGAGACACCCTGACCTGTGAGCGGTTCCACTGTCCCAAACCATTTCTTTAGCTCATTTTCACAAACAGGGATTGAAGAGACAATGGCAAATGCTTTAAATTGATTCCCACAGACTAACATCATCCTGAACACGCTGGAAAGGAAGATCCGGAAGAGGAAGATGGATATTTACTTCTCCCTGGTGCAGTCCATCCAAAGCGACTTACGACCTCACTACGAAGGTAGGACCCTTCTGCTGGGTAATCTCGAGCTTCCTGATGTGGGCTGACTCCCTGGCCAAGAGGCAGGGGTGGGGATGAGGATGAATTTGAACTTCATCCTCCAAAGTGGAAGAATGTCAGGTGAAACTCGAGGGTGGAGGCAGCAGGAGAAGAAAACGTTTTAGGAATCGGTGGACCTAAGGTGGAATTCACATGCTGCTTCACCAAGAGGGACAACGAGAAGCAAGTTAAACTAGCCGGGGTGGGGCGTTAAGAGTCTGCGCGTCAGATAGTCCTGGGGGCTGGACTAGATGATCTATTGAGGTCCCCGTCCAGTCCTGCCCTTCTGCGATCCCATGAGCCTTTGAACAGCTCTGAGTTGTTGATCAAAGCTCCGTGGAGTTTTTTTGGCTTGTTACAGTGCGAGAGCAACAAGGAAAAGGCGCTAGAGTCAAGGAACTTTAGTCCTTGATTCCATCAACCTTACCGTGTGCCTGGCTAATTAGAGAGGGCTTCATTGTCATGTCTCTGGGAACGGGTTGGCCGTTAGTAAGACCTCGCTTTCTCCAGTGAATCCACACATCGGTGTTGGCGGCATCCTTGGGGGCAGATCTCCCATTGGCCACCAGTGCAGCTGCACCCATTGCTTGCACCCGCTGATAGCAGCAAGCCCCTCTCCCGGTCCAGGCAGTCCCTGGAGTGCTAGGCCTGTTGAGTCCGCTCAGTCCTTGCAAACAGCTTCCAGGAGCCCCATTGAATGGAGGGATTCTCCAGTTGGGCCCACAGCCTCAGAACACACCGCAGCACCTCGTCTTAAGCAGTCAGGCCCCTGAATGCATGTTGCTTAGGGGAGTGGATTAGATGGTGGGAGATGTTGGATAGGCTGGCCAGAGAGCACAACATTTATAAGTCCCCAAACAAAGCCGCAGGGAAGATCCAGAAAATGATGGTTTGAGATGCAGGCGGAGAATATGATGAAGACTGACATCTGCATTCAACTGTTACCATGCGAGACAAAGAACTGGCATCAAGGACTATGAATAAAATTGGGATGAGCTAGCAGAGCAGCCGAGTTGGTTCTCTGGACTCCTGAGATGTTTCTCCAGACAGATAGAAGAACTCTTGTTGCCTTTTACTGGGGGACCATTTTCAGGTTTCATTAGCACCAGTTTCACAAAGCCTCGGTTTCATTAGCACCAGTAAAGCATGAAGCAAATCGTGTACATTGGTGTCCTTGGCCATGTGGGTTTGGTGGGGCCATGGATGTGGCTGCGGCTGCTTTCCAACCGTTCCTGCTGTGCAGGGACTCCAAGCCCCAGACTCCTGGGCTCACTGGTGCTTTAAGTTTCACTGGGTCTCAGCAGGCTCCTCCTTTGGCCTCTGGAACATTTTCTGGACACGGATTCTCCATCTACCTCTTTGTGGAAATGGTGCACCTCCACCCTCCTGCGTTGGGTCCCTGAACTGGAACTGGCCCATTACTGACAGTCTCAGCAGAAGGGCAGGTGACTTGAACCAATCATGAGCCACTTGCCTTTTAATGGGGAGAAAACCTTCAACGCACGGTGCAGGATGGTGACTCTCATGGGCCTGGCCTGTGCACACGCCCCTGGGGCATGTAAATATTAATAGGGGTCTGGGATGGCTCTAAAACAAGAGGAACAGGGGTCTGGCCAGAGCAGGCATTGTCCCTTAAGCCCCTTTCATTTCATTTCCTCTTGTAGCCTCGAACGATAAACAGACGTTAGTTCGAATTAACTTTGACAGGTGCTACACACGCGATCCGCAAGTTGGAACTTAATTCGAACTAGCGGAGCGCTTAATTCGAACTAGGTAAACCTCATTCCACGAGGATTAACGCCTAGTTCAAATTACCTAATTTGAATTAAGGGCTGTGTAGCCACTTAATTCGAACTAGTGGGAGGCTAGCCCTTCCCAGCTTTCCCTGGTGGCCACTCTGGGCAC